AAAGAAATATAGCAAGACTTGCATTGGCTACGCTGAAAGTTAGTAGCTGGAAGTGATCGGGTTAAAGCTTTTATATTAATCTCATGATATATATGTGTTGCAGATCATTCATTATTAATCATTCTCAGTTTCAGAAAATATTCAAATGATCTTATTTCAGGAGGAGCACACGCTTTCAGTGTGCCTTTTTTTTTGCTGTGAATTAGAGACCATGCTGTGTTCATTATAAAGTTTGTATTTTTATGAACTGATGGCTTTACATTACCAGGTTATTAATAAAGCTAAACCTAAGATTGTCTGTTAAAGCTGTGACTTCATTCAGTTCATAAACTAATTCTTCTTTTTTGTGAGATATTCATTATTAGATATAGTTAAGGTCTTAAGAATTTGAATGAACAAATACATATTGTGAATGGATATGTTCCTGTGCTTGTGGTTGAACTAACATGAACTTGATAAACCAATATTTCATGTTTTCAGATAAATATTTTTTGTTATTAAATATGAAAATAAAATGTAGTAACCTACATTTAGGTTTCAAGATACTTTGAAACTGAATATGAGCATAAACTGCAAGAATGAGTTTTATGAATACATGGTAATTCATATCCATTGCTACTTTCTACTAGTATGTGGCTTTACAATTTATAAGGAGAGCTTTAAAATATAACCTTTTAACTGATTAGGGATGTTTTTTCTATAAAGAAGTTTTTTTTTTTTTACTAAAAACTTTGCTTTGCTTATAAATGAAATTATCAACTCATATTGAGTTATGCCAGTAATTTTTAAAAACCTAATCAAGACTGATATATATATTGTTTAAGAAAAGAACATAAGTTGGTTCATTATATGATTTTCTACTTAAAAGTATTATGGATAACATAACAAGTTTTTAGATTTTTTTACTACCTATTCATATCACAACTGTAGATATTAGTTAAAACTATTTTTATAGACACAGCATCATTAAACACTAGAGTTGAATATACCATAACAGTTGTTATTTGTAGTATTACCACATGCTAGAAAATGACTATTTTGTGTGAAAAAATTCATACATTTTGTTCCAGTATTCGTTCATTTAAAGCATTTTTTGAGTATATAATGTGGACTAGATTATATTTTCAGGGATAAGGACAAAGTACCGGATTACAAAAGATCAAATGTTATCAATAGTGCATTTTGTTGTTATATAGTGTGTTCTTCAAAAATATGCTTGCAAATTTATTAACATTTATTTCTGGATGTGTTAAAACTCCTGTCACATCTGTGTCTTGCAGTCATGATAGCGCCTTTGCTGCTCTGAAGGAATTCTAGTATACATTGTAATAGAGGCTCAAGATTGCCTATGAAACACAAATAAGCAAACTCACACAAACAAATATGTGAAGATAAAGGCAAAAGCAAAGCCAAGTACAGAGGAATGAAATCGAAGTGAATGCGACATAATTGTTTCTTTAAATTTGAAAACCAATATTAAATATAATCTTCCCATAAAAGAGATTTTTGCAAACCTAAGCCATGATTTATCTCAGACCAGTTCAGTTGTGAATTCATTCTAATATAGTTGGAAAATTTATTAATAGTTAATGTTTCTGTCATATAAGGAGTTTAAAAAAATACTAGATCTGTAACTGTGAATTTTAAGTTTATTTTTGTTTGTTTTTTTAATTTGTTCAGGTCAAGAAGATTTTGATGCAAAACTCAGCAAATCTGTTTGCTCTGGGTATTCCACTGAGCTATTACTCCTTCCTGTTCGATATTATGAGAGTATTGGCCTGCTAGAGAAGTTTGCTGATATTTTCTTTGAACTAAGCCAACAAGGTAACTTTGTTTTAGTAATATATTCAGATGTAATGGTTTCTGTGTTGTTTATTTTCTTTTGGAATTAGCTCTTGCTTAGTTTATACTTTAAAAGCTGGAAATCACCTTCTCTATTACACTTAGAAGATATAACAAGTAAAAAGCATTTTAAGTAAAGCTATATTAAAAAATATCTAAAATTAGCTATTGGGAATAGAGAAATTGAAATGTCTGTTCTTTACAATAGTAATTATTAAGAGTTTCTTTCAACCAATATAATTCAAGTAGGTAAGGGTTTTGAACAATACCTATCAAATTAACCTTAGAATACATTGATAGCATAACATTGATAATAAATGAGATACACAGTTGTAGAAAAAAATTAAATCCTTGTGTTACAAGACTATTCGATGACGAGGAACCCACTTTAAGACTAATAATGCTTGGAGATGGCTTGAATAGGTAATGAAGAAAACTTTAATATTAGTTTAACATGACAGCAAATCTACAATGTTTCAACAAAACCTTGTCGAAACGTTGTACATTTGCTGCTATGTTAAACTTATATTAAAGTTTTTCTTCATTACCTATTTAAGCCATCTCCAAGCATTATTACAAGACTATAGTAACAAAGTGTAGTATTTTCTCATTCATCTTTAAGAATATTGTAATATTTAATTTATTCATTCATGTGTCACCATAATCAACTGAATGAGAGCAGTAAATAAATATAACTTATTTTAATAAATGTTTCATTCTAATTTGACTTGTTTACTTAAGGGAGTGACATTGTAGTTTGGTTGCAAGTATACAGTTTTTCTAGTATGATATGAATAGCTGTTTTTGTTAAATAATAGTGTTTTCAAAAAGGTTAAAACAATTCTTATTTTGTAGTGGCTTTAGAAAAAAACAACATTCTAATAATCTTTTTGTTTTATGTATCAGTACTCCAATATATACAAAATGTAAATACTTCCAATTGGTTGTAATTACTTCTTTCATTTTAAACTGTACCCTGAAGAAAACCTTTGTAATGATCAGTAGTAAACACACTAACTGGTGCAGTAAGTCCTTTCTTTTGGTACAGATAACAAATTTTCTTCATGAAAAAATGACCTTTTAAGATTTTTTCTAGCACTTTCTAAAACTAGGAATTTATAACAACTAAATCTGTTTGTCAGCTCTAAAACATTTTAACTGGTAATTAATTGATGACAAATATGTAAGAAACATTTTAATCTAATTTTTACTTTCTGTGATGGAAATGTGCTGCTGTATATTAGATTATTATTAAAGATTAGCTGTTGTCACTGTGTTTAGAGCTTGTATCTATGGTGATCAGGTGAATAGCAACAAAGCGGTGTTTTAGTGTTGTTGTTTTTTATGCTTAGATATCTTTTTTGAAAATTTTGAACACCTTAATGAAATATTCTTAATAGCTTCTATGTGTTATAATAATTGGATTTTATATTACTACACTATAATATGGAAAATTTTCTTAGTTCTTGTAACTGTTAATATTGTATAACATATTTTAAATTGGTAGCTCTACTCATACTTAAGTGACTTTTGTTGTTATTTAATTTGTGAAGCACATCAGTACATCATTTATTGTTTTCTTAATATAATTTTATATAGAGCCAACCCCAAAGTTGCATGAACTGGCTTCCTGGATGGCCCCTACCAGAAAGCTTCCTGGATATGGTTATGAAGTCGTGGGACAACTGATGGGATATATTAAGAAATACACAGATGAGGCAAGTTCTTTACCACCAGAATGTATAACAACATTACGTATTCTACAGCATTTGGCCATAGCACCATCAAAAGAACAAGGTATTCTTAAGTTTTAATTGTTTTTAACTGAGGGTATGATTCTAATAAATTATATAATTTTTCTCAAATGTCTAACCCTGTGCATGACTTGTGTACATGTTCTACACCAAATAAATTGTAGAATTGCTACTGAGACCACAAGTATCATATTGATAATAGAAAATACGAAAAAGTATTGAATATTTGAAAGAATCAAAATCTGTCAACAGAGAGTGTAAAATAATTTTTTTATAATATACTTTGTTTCTTATATTTCAACTATTTATTTTACTGACACAAACTTTTTGTGAAGTGTTTCCACAAATTCTGTTGTAGCTTTTGTTAATTCTCTGTATATAAACTTAGTCATTTTGACCAAACATATAAACTGTATGTAACCATGAAACTATAAATACTATAGCTTTTAATGCAGTAAAAGTACAAGTCTGTTATAAACAAAAAAATCAAATTCTTTAATAAAGTATTTCTACAAAACATTTACATCTCAATTTATGAAGCCTTTACTGAATCAGTTCAAATACAAGGTGATTTTCATGTTAAGAACCAAAGTACTTTTTTTTCATCTTAAAGTTTGAAAATTTCATTTGTAACCTCTAGAGCATCCTAAATGAGTATCAGAAGTTTTTGTCAATAACATTTTATATTTATCTGTTACTTTTTCTACCCTAAAAATAATTGTGCCAGCCTCAGTCAATTTGACTGACCTTGTAACCGCTATGTAACAAAAAATGGGAAATAAATTTAAATTACCATTCTTTCTTTCTAGAATGGCTGCATATTATAGCAGGCAATTACATACCATTTATTTTTACAGCCAAAGCTAATAGATTTTTCATTTAGTTTTATTGCTTTACCATTGCACTTAGACCTTCTCAGTGCATGGCAATAACTCATTTATTACACTGGACAGCTTTGAGTAAACAAATAATCAGTTACACAGTAATTTCTCATGCCACTGAGCACAAGCTATGGAGTATTTTGTTTATTTAATTTCATTTAAGTTTTCTTGTCTGACTTAATAAGTTTCTAATTTTTACAGTTTAGTTACTTTTAAAACAAAAAATAAAAAAATGGATGTTTCTGAAATCTTGTCTTTTTCCAGCTTTGTTTTTAGTAACAATAGTGTGATCTTAGAATTTGTTTTTTTTAATTCAAATATGCAGCTTAGAATACAAAATACTGCTAGAAATATAAAATAAAATGTCTTAAAGCTAATATTTATTTAACTAAGCTAAATGTAGGTTAAATAATATTCATACTTGGTCAAGCAGAATTCCACTGTTTGAAAACAAACAAAAAGGATGTCTAACTGTTCAAAATCTGTTATCTCAATAGTTCCAAGCCCGATTGCATTCAGTAAATTGAAATCTTCTCTTTTTTTTATTGGTTAGAAACAATCCAATAACAAATTTAAGAGAGGATTATTTACATATTTTTGTAAACAGGATGTATTTGTAAGGGTGTGACATGTGGTCTACAGTTTATTACTTATACCTCTGTGAAACAAAAGCTTTGTCACTACAAGTTGATAATTTAGTTTGGATATGTATAGTATAAGTGTAAAATTCCATGGAAAGCAAGGTCATTTAAGAGTAGAGAAAAATCTGAAATGGGCAATTTGGAATGAAGAAGTTCCATTTGAAATTAAGAAATTGAAATTTATATAACATTAAAATTTGAATTATAATCTATGTTTCGATTGCAAGTCTGTTGAGATGCATCAATAGTGAAGTAGTTTAATTACATTTTGAATGTAACTGTAAAAATGGTTGTGATATGTGCAGTTTAACCTACCCTTATCCAGAGGGTTAATATGAACATCAGAATGCCTGGTAAGGATAATAAAGTAACAGAAGTTCCTGACTTTTGACAGTTATCCCATATAGTCTAGAAATTATTATGAATATAAATCAGTAATGCAGTTAAAAGCTGGAAATAAACATCAACTTGTATATCAGTGATTTAGTTTGACCTACTGAAGCTATATCAATTCTAGCCAAAAGAAATTATTCTCATATCCTTCTCACTACAGTGTTCCACTGTGTAGTGTGTACAGAAAGAAAAAAAAACGTTTGTTTAAGTTTAATAGTACTGTTCTAAAATCTCAGTATAATAATTTAATTGCCAATAGAAATGTGTTATTGTTATTCTTTCTAAAATGCTTGTAATTGGAATGTAATGTACTTGATCAGCCAGCTTTCAAACAGACATTTGGTGACTTGTGTCATTTGAACTACAAAAATTATTGATTAGAATAATATCTTCTTTTTTTTTTTAAGATTGTTCTGGTAGAGTGAAAATAATTATTTTGGCATGCTTTTATTCTAGCTTTCTAAAACCTGAAGTACAGTGCATATTATAAAAATATAAAGTTCCAAAAATGAACTTTGTTTCATAGGAACATGAAACAAGTAACTTATGATTAGAATACATTGTAGTAAACAATTGGGAAATAAATATGGAAAAACAGATCTATTAATTAATAATTGACTTTAAATATTAAGTTGAACATTTGCTATTTCATATGTTAGAACTGAGATTTTTTCTATTTACTCTATATAGCAAGAGAACAAAAAAGGCTGAATCTTTTCTTTTTTGTTTCATGTTTAAATCAAAGGACAACAAGAACTTCGGTATAAGTATGTTATCATTCAGATCTTTTCTAACGATGGGATGTCTGTTTTCTTAAGCATGTTGCAGGTAAGATATCAGCAAGTTTATAAATTATTCAATTTTTTTTACAAATAGCATAAAGAATTTGTTACTTTTAAAAAATTAATCTCTATTTTGAAAGTTACTCCTCGTTTCCCCTAGTACAGTATATATATCTTGTATTCAGAGTACAGAATTTATATGCTTCTATGCCTTCATAGTCACAAGAAAGTTATAAGGGTTTGTAGAACTTTGATTAAATTGTGTGGATTATGTACAAAGTATACATGTACCTAAACTTTTCCCTTGTCACATACAATAAATAAAAAGTAGCCAGTTTTTACATTAAGTACTTCATAAAGTTTATAGTAAAATAATCAATATTATCTTCTTGAATTATCTAAATAAAATTTTTAATTTCAGAAAATATGCAATGTCTTTTTGAAACCCTCTCACCAATCTACAGCTTTAGTTGGCCACCAGGGGTCCATGGTTGTGGCAATTATAAAGCCAGTGGTGTATATCCTGCATTCAATGTTGAGTTATCTGATTTCATGTCAAGGACCTGATGTAAGCTTAAATGTGAACATGTTATACATATTTATAGTGATATAAACAGTCATTTAAATATTCCATAACTTGAAGTAAGTGACAAAGAATACTTTTTAAAGACTGTTTAGTCTTCTAGGTTTTAGATATTATTATTTTCAAATTTTTTCATAATACAAAAAAATCTAAACATTCTCAAAAAATTAAGACGTTTAGAATTTGGAGAGAGGCCGGAATGCTCACCATATTACTATTTTTCTTACTTTGTGTTTTATAATTGTATTATTTGTTTGTTTTTCATGTTTAGTTTAATTTTATGTTGACTTAAAAAAATGATTTTTTAAGGTAATATATATATATATATATATTAC